GTTTTGATTCATGTAAAATTTTGCTTCCACTTCACAATTGTATACCACTTTGTGTTGGTCTTTCACATTAAATTCCAGTGAAATATATTTATGTTTTTGGTTGTAATGTGACAAAATATGGAAAAGTTCAAGGGGTATGAATACTTTTGCAAACCACTGTATATATATTACACACACACACACTGCAAACTGTGTTCTACACAAAACAACAAGAAATAGATCTTCTGAAGTTTGTCCAGTGAATGTAACATGTTAGATATATACTGATGGTATGTTGTGTATCTCCATAATAAGAACAAGCACAGTTGTAGAAGTACTATCAGTTTCAATCAACAAAATCTTTAACTYGTTATGTAGCTACATCTTATATCATGAAACAGTTTTCTATTCAGATTTGGAGCTTCAGCYACAGAATCCTCTTCAGTGACAGCCTTCAGTCTGTCTCTCCTTCATCTGTGCCCACCTCAGCATCTGGCTTTTCCAAACAGCCATCATCGTTGGCTCCAAGCCTCATACTCCTCCACAAACTTTAAACAAAAGCCCAATATTTTGCTGCTCACTCACGTTCCAAGCATCTACGTGGTCACCCCATCTTCATACTTGTCCAAGTCATTACCACTCATCTATCACTCCATCATCTGTTCGAGCGGAGCTCAGTGCTTAGATTTTCTAACCAGACCTCACTTTTCATTCAGACTTCAAGGCCTGTTCAGGAGCTCACTGAATGGAAGGGTTTGTTTCAAAATGCACCTCTTCAGAGACTGACGCAGCCTCATTAACAAAATTCTACCAAAAATAAAAGAAAGATTTAACCAATTAACAACAAAAAGCTCAGTTAATTTGCTATCTTCTTTTATCTTTCCTCCTTTGTTAGTACCTAATCCAGGTTCTCTGTTATTAAAACTTCTTCTCAGAACTCAGGGTTTCTCCATGACACAAATTTTATGCTGCAAAGAAAGATTTCATATAAACATTTCTGCTTCTTTTTAACAGAACACCATGCATCATTCCAACATGTTCTCTCTCCCAACTCATCACATAATGACACTTGTCCAAAGTTTGGTCTGGTTTTGATGCGTCGGGTAACTCCCTCACTTCAGTTATTGACGCACGGTGCTGATGTGAGGGGGTTACCCATTGTTTCACTTCTATTCCCAACATATCCAACCTACTGGAACAGTTTTAAGATATGTCCTGCTGTTTATCAGTGTGATCTCACTAAAAGCACCTCTCCATTGTTTCGCCATATCTTCTCACATATCTGGACTTCATAAAACCCATTTAAATAAGAACTTCTGACCCCCTACAGCATCCACATTGCCTGATTTTCCTCTTCAAGCTCTGGTCCAAAGACTTGATTTTTGAAAACATGTTCATACTGGGTGAAGTAAACAGGAAGCTCCATTTTCCACCAACATTTGGGTTTATTTTCAATCCTCACAGATTATCAGCGGACCAGTCGGTTCAAATCAGACTCTAAATTAATCTCATGAGAATTTCTTCATAACAAAAACTGAGAGGCAGATAACAAGATGGAAGTTCTATACCTTCACTTAAAACCTTTCATTTCCCAGAACACTGATCCATCCTTTTCATTTCCACATCATTTCCTCTGCATCCAGACTTGGCATCATTTTATTACTGACCCAAAGGTATTTAGCTAAAACAGTCAGCAACCTACAGTATGCTAACGAGACATGGTATTCATCATTTTATAATCAGAGTTTTCGTTTCATAGGAATTTCTAACTTAAATGTACTGTTGCATAGACTGAGATTGTCCACCATTGTACAGAGCATGTTGAAGGCTGTGAAATAAACAATAAAAACTTAAGTAATGAGTGAGAAACACTTTCACTTGGCAGAAATAACAAGCATGATCTCATTTCAAAGACTGATTTTTTTGCCTAGACAACACTTCTTTGTCCAATGTGAAGGCAGGAAGAAAAGTACAAGACTGTGGTCTGCAGTATTTTGTCTGCCTCAGGAATAACATATTCTGGGCTTATTCCCCAGGTATGTTAAACATTTGTTGGCATTTTCTCTCACCAGTGGTCCAGAGAGAGAGCAAAGTGTATACATTCTGAAATACACATGTTTAGAAATCAGTGATTTGTTTTTCTCTCTTTTTTTTTTTTTTACTTCAGCTGGGTTTTATTTTTTACATCCTGTAAGTGAGGACAACATACAGTTAAATTATTCTGTTTGTTTAGAACTGCTTTGATAAAGTCTGTTTTTAAATATTTTTGCAATTTGAAATTGATGGTTCACAATAAAAACTAATTATTTCCCAGCATCCCACTGATTCATTATAAAATGCAGTGGTGGGCACCAGTCTGCTAAAGCGCAAATCCACTAATTGCAGACCTAAACATGTTATTTGTGCTTTAGCGATCTTAGTAATTTTGATAATAACTAATCAGACTTGTGCTTTTTAAATTTAAATTACAATTCTGCTAATAACTAATTATCTACTGGCCATCATTATCTTGAACAGTGGAAGGTATGTCTCTGTCAGGACTCACAAATCATTTGAACCATCCAACAGCTCCGCTCCAAGCTAAACCCTATTTTTTGGGAAGGTCCTTCCTGACTGTCGCTTTGGGTCACGGTTCAGTCGGATCTCATTTTAGTAGGTCAGCTTTGCAAAGTATTATTGCTGGCAGCAATCTAAATTGCTCATATGGCTTCTGTTAAATTATAATAAACACAGTGCAAAAGACAATATTCAGTAGCCAACAGGGATCCACATTTTACAGACATTTCCCACAATGCTTTGTGTCTGTTTACGTAGCAGGAAAACAATGTTTAGAACTCCCTTTCCCAGCAAAAAACAGTAAACGTTTGTAATCCATRCTAAAATTTTGTATGTATTGATTTATTTTACTTTACAATCAGAGCTCCCTTTTAAAAAAAATAAATTGGTCGAAGCAACGGGGTTATAGACTTATGCTGACAAAGACTGACATCTAGTGGTCAACTGGAGCAACTACATGGAAAACGTCCTGATGCATCTCAGTAATCCAGATAAAACAAATCAAAAAGAAAAAATAAGTAGGTCCTCTGGACGGGTTCTTCTTTAGTGAAACATTTCGTCTCTCCTCCAAGAGACTTCTTCAGTCTGATGAGTTTCAGGTGGACTGGAATCCAATGGAAACATGGAAAACTAAAATCCAAGCTCTTATTTTGAAGGGAAGACACTAGTTTCCTGTTCTCATTGCTTTCGTTTCCCATCACAAATGTACCCAGAATGCATCGCTTCAGTTTTCCAATAAACAGTGTTTTAAAATTACTTTATTGATGCTTCTTTAATGAAAAATCTACAACAAACAAAAGAAAAAGACAAAGAAGCAGTCAAAATAGCAATCCTCAGCAATTTTTTAAAGAATCTGCCAAAATAAAAAGCCTCAACAAGTTTTTAATTTTTAAATCAGGAGCCAAAGTTCTGTTTCAGGAAATCAGACCCCTGCAATCGGTGGTTGTAAATGAGCCGTACAAGGGTTCATACATACATCACTAGTGGGAAGCATTGTATGTAAAAAAGAAAAAAAAATTATAGGTCTTCTGGACAGGTTCTTCTCTAATGAAACGTTTTGTCTCTTCTCCAAGAGACTTCTTCAGTCTGAGAGTTTCAGGCAAAATTCAGGCTTTTAAGCCCAGCCTCCGTGTGACTGATACTCACATCACATGGCTATCGTTGACACCTAATTAAGACTTATTGTTAACAGGGGGTGGAGAGAAGATCCAGTGCCCCGGCACAAACAGAGCAATGTTGTATATGCTGTTAAGTGCCAGGAGGACTGCGACCAGTTATACATCGGGGAAACAAAGCAGCCACTGTTCAAAAGAATGTCCCAACACAGACGAGCTACDTCTAATGGCCAGAACTCTGCAGTTTTCACTCATTTACAGGCGATCACTCTTTCAGAGATGAGGATGTTCTCATTCTTGACAGAGAGGAACGTTGGTTTGAGAGAGGAGTAAAAGAAGCCATTTTTGTGAAGAAAGACCGTCCATCATTAAACAGAGGTGGAGGCCTCCGTTTTCAGCTGTCCCCCTCCTACAGCGCGGCCATTGCCAGTATCACTCCACCCCCTGTTAACAATAAGTCTTAATTAGGTGTCAACGATAGCCATGTGATGTGAGTATCAGTCACACGGAGGCAGGGCTTAAAAGCCTGAATTTTGCCTGAAACTCTCAGACTGAAGAAGTCTCTTGGAGGAGAGACGAAACGTTTCATTAGAGAAGAACCCGTCCAGAAGACCTATACAATTTTTTTTCTTTTTGATTTTTTTACCGATTACTGAGATGCATCAGGACATTGTATGTAAATTGTAGCCAGCTAGAAAATGTCAAATTGAGCCTGCGATTTAGAATTAGCTTCAGGTAATATTTCTAATGCATAAGTGCTTTTGAAGTTGCGGACCTAAATATTTTCATAAGCGCTTTTGAAATTGCGGAGCTAACTTTTGAATTAGCACTGCCAACCACTGATAAAATGTTTATTCTGTTACAATTACAGGCTTCAGGTGACCAACTACAGGCTAAAGTCAAGTCAAAAAATCCAGCATGACTGATATAAAATTATCTAAGCTTTTCCATTTAGCACCCAAAAGGAAACAAAAAGAGAACAAATTGTGTCGTTTTGAACTTTTAGTTCTGCTCTTGTGTTGCAGAAAATGCCATCTTAGCCTTTGGGAATGGATCAGATGTGAAAACTGGCGCCAGTCAGCCTGGGATGCCAAGCCCAGCGACGGATACCCAGAGCCAACACTTGGCGACCACCACTCCGGGCATCTCCATGGAAACAGAGCAGAATGTTCTGCAAGCACAGATACCTACTCAGGTGAGATGAGACAGACGACTGGAAACAGAGGCAGCAGTGGAGCTGACCTCACGCAGAACTGAGTCATGGCGAAGTGCATGATTTGAAGCATTTGTTGTAACTAAGTGGGATAATTTTATTGACATGTTACATTTTAGCAAACCGAAGCAGGTTAGTTTGCTACATAATTGAAGGTTTTCTTTAAATTTCAACCTAACTAATGTGGGAGTTTGGAAACTAAGTTAATTGCACTAGTTACAATCAAATCATGCATAAATACACCCATACACATGGTAATTATGTTTTATATGGTAATCACTGTACCTTCCAAAACTTCAATAACAAAATTGTCTTTTCTGTCTTTTTTACTAAAACAGATAAACCTGCCTTCATTGATTTATCTTTTTTTTTGTCATTAAAATCTGAGCTGCCAGAAAAGAAGTAGCACCGAGTGAAGCACAAAAGCAATTTGAGAATCAAATAGTTGAGGCAATTAAAAAGCAGCAACATTCAGTGTGTACAGAAGATTTTTTGCTTCATAAAGACAGGCTGCTTGTGTTTATACAGTTCTTGTACAGTAATCAATCTTTAACATATAACTAATTATAAATTAAATGTATAGTTGTGGTCAAACATTGCTGTCCAATCATCACAGACATGTGATTGATTGATTGATTGATTGATTGATTGATTGATTGATTGATTGATTGATTGATTGATTGATTGATTGATTGATTGATTCCTTTATTGTCATTGTATAGAGCACAATGAAATTACATTTAAGAACACCCATTCAAGAAGACACACATGACAAAATATTAAGGAACAGGTGATCAGGTCATGCGGCAACCAGCACGGGCCATGCTACCTTAAAAAARTACCACACAAGGATAGATGAGGAAAGAAAACATCAGATTATATCAACGAAATATGACACACTATGGTGTTTATAGAAAAAAAAAMCCTCTGGARAGCAAGAGCACATTTATTAGCCAGAGGAATAAGTTGAGTTTAGGGGGCATGATTACATTTTAGCTTTCTTTCTTTTAATCCTTATAATTGTTATGATGCTGTGATGTGTGTTGTTTTTATGGGGGGCATCAAACAGATTACGTATATAAACAAAATTTCCATTTTTGTATGGACATTAAAGTTTTATCTTATCTTATGTATCTGAAGCCATGAATGTTGTATGCACTTGTGTGAATATCTGAAGAATGAGTCTGAAGAATCTAATCACCCCCCAAAAAAAATCAGAAACAAAAAACATAGTTCAGCCATAGTCCAGAATRCTGMTGTTGATTGTTCATTCTGTGTTGCTTCAGCTTGTTCTTCAGGAACCAGATTACAGACAGGAGTGAGAAGGGGGAAGGTGGGGGCCAAGCCACAAGTCGACGTAAACACCAGGAGAATTTAGATCCACAGCCTTTCAAGGCCACATGGGGGGAGCCGAATCTGTAATCACAGTTGTTTGGGAACAGAAGAAAATGTTTTTGGTCAGGCAGACAATAATAATAAACAAAGTCCAGGGACAGCATAACCGTTTGCAGACAGTGGTGGGCACCCACTAAAGCACAAATCCGCTAATTGCAGACCTAAATATTTCATTTGCGCTTTAGCGGTCCTACTAATTTTTGTAATTCATAAGCAGATTTGYGCTTTCTAAAATTAAAATGCAGTACTGTTAATAAATATTTATCTACCAGTCATCATTACCTTGAACAGCGGAAGGTAAAGCTGTCAAGGTAAAGCGGACCTAAATATTTTCATAAGCGCTTCAGAAATTGCAGAGCAAAGTTTTGCTTTATTGCTGCCCACCACTGCTTGCAGACAAAATCCCAGCTTGCACAGGGCATGAGTCTGAGTGTTGAGAGCACAGCAATCCTTCAAATTGGTCAGGCAGCTATAGGAAATGGCCTGAATAGCCACCGACGTTGTTTTGCAAAACACCAGGAAACCACCACGCCAATCTGTAGATCAGAATCCAATATATGCTAGTTGAACAGAGCAGAACAGAGGTCAGACCTTCCACGGAAAAAAATTTGATACAAAAATTTCTTCAAAATTTATTTGAGACCAGCTAACATAAAAAAATTATCAAAAAATAAATAAAAAAGACACCAGCTAACCAAATTCAAAAAAATAAATTTATAATTTTCGGTTTCGGATGAAAATATCGAGGAGGCTCCAAGCTGCAACACAAGAAAAATAAGGGAAGGCAGGAGAGAGGGGGAAATTGTCTTACTCCTCCGAGAGCAGAAAAATAAATAAGTAAATGAAAAAGTTGCATGCTGTACAATCATTTTTCTGTGGGAAAAAAGAAAGTTTAAATTAAAAAAATTAATAAAGAAAGTCATGCTCACAATGAATGGAAATAAATTCAACTGTATTCTCACATTTATGCACAAATGATATAAAAGTTTCTGAATTCCCTACCAAACACTCAACTTACACACGTGACTGTGTGTGTTTGCATTAGTGGCGCAGCATAACAACCACATTTTTGTCCTTTTTTTTAGTTTGGCATTTCGTAAGAGAGGAGGATGTAGATGGATGAAAAACGTGAAAATCTTGGGGGGGTGGTCTATTTTATTTTATTTATTTTATTTTATTTTTTAGCAGGAGGGTGGGGGGGCATAATTAGCTCAAGTACATCACCGCCAGCTGAAACTGGAAGAATAAATCTAAATGAAATGTGATATAAATATGTTGAAAGTTCACAAATACCTGGTTCACCTATTAGGAGTATATTTTTTCCTGCCTTTGCCCTTTAGGTTGAATCAGATCAGGAGATACTGATGCACCTTGGAGCTWGTTATTCGTTGACCTTTGTTTAATGAGAAAGGTTCAGATGAGATAAAATGTTTGTTTCAGTGGAGTGACAGTTGATGGAGGAAACTTGGACTAAACTGCACCATTCTTTCTTTAAAACACTTCCACACCAGATCTTTGGACTTGTGGACCCGGTATGGCATAAAACTCAACCAAGGTTAACTGACTAGTCCACATTTCAAATTGTTCTTGGAAATCATGGATGTTGTGTCTGCTGGGTCAAAGGGGAAAAGGACTGTTCGGATTGTTATCAGAGCAAAGTTCAAAAGCCAGCATATCAATTGGTATGGAGGTGTATTAGTGCCCATGGCATGGCTAACCTTCACATCTGTGAAGACTCCATTTATGCTAAAAGGTAAAAAAGGTAAATACATGCTGCCATCTAAGTGACGTCTTTTTCAGGGATGTCTCTGCTTATTTCAGCAAGGAATTGCCAAACAACTTTCTGCACTTTACAATAGTGAGGCTTCTTAGTAAAAGAGTGCAGGTACTAGACYKGCCTGCCTGCGGTCCATACCTGGCCAATGAAAATGTGTGGAGCATTTTGAAGCACAAACAATGGAGACCCAGACTGTGAGCAACTGAAGCTGTACATCAAGCATGAATGGAAAAAGAATTTCACCAACAAAGATTCAACAATAAGTGATTGAACATGTTGCAGGACTCAAATTCAAAATGAATGAATATTAAGAAAAATAAAAATTTTTCTGTTTGAACATTAAATATTTTGTCTTTATAGTAAAATCAATTGAATATAGGTTAAAAGGATATACAAATCATCGTACTCTGTTTGTATAGGTTTTACACAACCTCCCAACTTCATTGGATTTAAGGTTGTAAGAGGCACATATGAAACAATTAGTGACTTCAGACCTCAGAATCAGGGCAAAGAACTCGCTGTGTAAAAGTCCACACTGTGCTAACATCAGCTGTTTTTTTTTCACAGCTTCACTGTGAATTTACTATCAGCTCTGTGTCTAATTAAGTGAATATAATGTGATATAACTGTGCTAAGACTGTTGTCCTCTGGTTGACATAGCAAATTATAGCCAACAGTGACCACAGCCAGAACAAGCATTAAACTAAAAAGAAACGCACCCATACCTTGTCTTCACTTTGGTTTAAATAATCCTGATAGAACAGACATTTATATTGAGAAGGATTTTAATGAACAGGTTATTTAAATTTTTAGCTCAAAATAAATA